TGCCCACCTCGCCCGAGCGCCGCCTGCAGGGCGCGGGGACCCCGGGGGCCGCGTGCCGCCCAGGCTGCAGCCGGCAGCTCCGCGTGCGTTTCGCTGACGCGCTGGGGCTGGAGCTGGCGCAGGTGAAGGTGTTCAGCGCGGGCGACGACCCTGCGGTGCCGCTGCACGTGCTGTCGCGGCTCTCCATCAATGCGGACCTGTGCTGCAGCAGCCAGGACCTGGAGTTCACGCTGCAGTGCTTGGTGCCCGACTTCACGCAGCCTGTCGACGCGGCTGACTTCGGCGAGAGGCTGCAGCGACAGTTCGTGTGCCTGGAGCGCGTCACCTGCTCAGACCTGGGCGTCTGCGGCACCGTGCGCGTGCGCAACGTGGCCTTCGAGAAGCACGTGGCTGTGCGCTACACCTTTTCAGACTGGCACAGCACGCACGAGGTGGCTGCTCGCTGGCGAGGGCCCGCGAGCGAGGAGGGGACCCACGACATCTTCGCCTTCAGTCTGCCGGTGCCATCTTTCCTACTGGCGCTGGGCTCGCGCATGCACTTCGCGCTGCGCTACCGCGTGGCGGGCACTGAACACTGGGACAACAACGATGGTCACAACTACAGTCTCACATGCCGCAGCCACGCGCTGCACATGCCCCGCGGCGAGTGCGAAGAGAGCTGGATCCACTTCATCTGAGCCAATCCCTAGGGGCCAGCTTCGCTTCCTGGGCACGTGGCCATGGTGGTCCCCACACCCCTTGAGCTGGGACTGCTTGGGGCGCAGTCCCCTGACCGTGGCCCAGCCTGCCTGCTATTTGTGTCATCTGTGTCCCTAGACCTCGAACGTCGCTTCTGGAGATCCAGTGGCCAATCATGTCCTGTACTGGGGAGGGTGGGTGGGCGCATGAGCGTGGCCACCACTCTCTCAGGAGGACCTGAGGTCTTCTGAATGTGCCTCTACAAACGTCACTTATCACCATTGCCATGCTGGGGTCCTGCGCCCTAAGTGGATACTTCCTCAGGACATTTGGGATATAATAAGCTTAAGAAGCCAGTGTGCTTTCCACTGTAAACAGAGTGCAGTGTGACCTGCCCTGCGGTCCCTCGAGGCATTCCAGTCGCAGTACCAGGAAAACCTGAGAGCCGGAGAGCTGCCAATGTCTCCAGCCTTCGAACATGGGAAACTATTAATAGGCAGGAAATGTGTGGCTGCCCAGTCACCACTCAGCCAGGCCTGGGCATGCAGGCTGCTCTGGCTAGCCGGCCAGCTCCGGCATCAACAGCTGTGGAAGCTTTCTCCGAGCCCAGCAGTCCCCTGTCTGCAGCCCACTCCCGGCCAGCCTTTCTCTCCTTTCTCTCCTGCGTGTTGGGTCATTATTTGCACCTTGTCATGTTCCTCCCTTTAGGCTGGAAAGAGCCTGGACGTGGTGGACCATTGCCGTCTGCCAGTGGAGGCGACTAGAGTTGCAGAAGCAGGCACCACCACCCATTTGGATTCCTGACCTCGGTGTGTTCTCCTGCCTGTGGCCAGTTGCAGCAGCCGTCTTTGCAAAGCTAAGCTACCTCCCGGGATGGACGGTGTTTTCAACATAGAGCACTGAGGGGAAAGAACCTACACGGCTTTCTGGGTTTTGATTGTTTTAAATTCTAGCTCTGTAGCCTGGTTTTCTCAGCTACCTTCTTTGTGCCTTCAAACTTCTTTTCTTTCTTTCTTTGAATCTGGTACATTTAAAATGTCAAATGTTTTTAACCTTCAACCAACAAATCGCAGCCATTGTTCTTTGCAAAGTGCCACAATTATTTAAGACTCCAGGCACAAGAGGAGTGGCTCCTCTGAGGGCTGGGTGTGGATAGTCTCGAAGGCCCTAGCATGGAGATGGGGGAGGGGGCGGAGCCAAAGTGAAGGGTCCTGTATTGATTTCTGACAGGTGAAGCCAGCAATGGAAGAGCTAACACTGGTGAATTAGATTTATTTTTATTTCATGGTAGTTAGCATTTGTTGATGCAACAGGATGTGGCTGGCTTTTTGACCAGTTTGTCTCTGATAAAGGCAACTTCTGCGTTTTTAAGATGGCAGGCAGGGGAATAGCCTTCCTGGTCAGAGAACACGAGGGTTTGACTTAAAACACTGTGGCTGAAATGAACAATCTCTGGCTGTTAGCACACTGCCCTTTATTAACATGCACAAGAGAGAAGCGTCTGGTTGTGTTTCTTGCTGTTTACCAAATGCAACAAGTAGGTCAGCAAGCTGTAGATGTTTGGCTTCCGCTTCACCCCAGCTCGGAGTGCAGGACTGTTGTCCATGCACGAGCTGTTGTTGAAAGACATGGAGAATCCCATGACCTGTGCAGAACTGCTTGCTGGAAAGGTCCTGGAAAAGCAAATGCTGTATCCTCAAGATTCTAAGAACCTCAAGGTGCCTTTTAAAATTACCAACTTTTTAAAATCTAAAGCTTAACTATACCTGCCTAGTTGATTTAAAGACAGCAAAGAAACAAATCGTGGATCAGCGTAAGAACTTTCAGATTCAGAAATGCAGTCATGTTGCTTAGATGTGAATATGTTCTGGTGGATTATGCAGGTACTGCACAAAAATACATCTGCCTGTATTTTAACGTTTTCAAGGTTGTCATTTCAAATTGACTCCTACTCGAGCATTAAAATAAATTATCTCTTTAGGGAAGAAAATGTGCAGGAATGCATGAAAACCCAACTTTTCTGTAAACTTTCATTACAATCACAATTTTTAAAAAGTCGGGGAAAAGAAAAAATCCCTTCCTGATGTTTTGTATTGGGGTGTGTGTGTGTGTGTGTGTGTGTGTGTGCTAATTATTAAAAGCTGGAGGGCACTCTGGTGGCCTGCTCCACAGGTAGTGTCTCTGCTCACCCAGAAGCTTGAATTCAGCTGTGGCTCCAAGGTAGAAAGATGGGTGATCTTGTTCTTTGTGATTGACTGCCTCAGAAACCACGAGAGAGTGGTCTATGAGTCGGTACTGAAGGGTGGAGGGACAGCACAGGAGATAAGACCCTGGATGAGATGAAATGGATTGGCACAATACCTGGGGCATTGGGGGTAGGTGTGTCGGAGTCAGTGAGACTGGCTCTGGACAGGGCAGGATTCAGAGCTACTGTACACAGGTTTGCTGTGGGTAACAGGTGACTTGATGGCACATAACAACAACATGAATCGGTTCTGACTAAACAACACAGAGTTACGGTGGCATAGTGCATAACGCATGAGGCTGCTAACTGAAAGATTGGTAGTTCAAATCCACCAGCTAGCTGTTCATGGGAAGAAGATGGAGAATCTCGTTCTATAAAGATTTACATTATTGGACACCCAGTGGGAGGCAGCTGTGAGTCCAAGAATACTCCATGGCAGCAGAAATTATGGAAATATTTTAGAATCATCTTGCCTTGTTTTAAGTGCATCTTGTCCTTTCTAAACCACTGCCAAATTCAGAGCCTGCTGTAAAGAAAAAACTTGCAGGATTGTTCCTCAGCTTCACCATGGGGGTGGGGGGGAAGCGGTCTTTGAAACACTTAAATACAATCCTGGAAGCAGAGGCCACGTTCCATATGAAGTAAGGGGTGGAGGTATAAAAGGGATAACAGCTGTTTCTTGAACAGAGCTTCACATAGTGTGTGTTGAATGATTTGTGTGTTCCTGCCTTTGCTCTGGACTGAGACTGTCAACCGAAGACAGGGCCTTGCACAAAGGGGAGGGAAGCTAACATTGTGTTAAGAGTTGGCTTTCTGTACAGGCCGTCCCTGGGTTACAAGACCCGTTCCAGAATGTGTCTTTAGGTCTAATTTGCAGGTAAGTGGGAACAGATGCGTACAGTTCTAATTTGTTTTTACTTCAGTACGTGAAGGCTTGCTGATGGGCTTAAGTATTAGGTTGATAATCAGAAAGTTGGCAGTTTGAACCTGCCATTCTCTCCTTAGGAGAAAGAGCCCACCAGCTCGGGGGGAAATGTGGTACAGTCAGCTTCCATGAAGGTTCACAGCCTCAGAGACTGTGGACTCTGACTTTTCTCTGTTCTGCAGGGTCCTTAGGAATCACCATGTTTGATGGCATTGGGTTAAGTTTGGTTTTAGTGTAAGAACTTCTGAAACCTTTTCAGTGACATGGAAACAGCATGTGCATCAAGTTGATGGTGGTGAAGACTTTGTTGTCAATACGGGTTGGTTCAGTCATTTCAAAATGCAGCCAAGTTGTTATCACGTGATCGGACAAGTATGTGTCTCCCATCAGTTGGATGTCTGCAACCCAGTACTTGGGGTAATTTATTTCATTAAAGAACAAAACAAATTGCTCTCCATTCAGAACTGACTTATAGCAGACCCTCCAGCAGATTTTAGGAGACTGTAAATCACCTTAGCACCCATCTTTCTCCCAAGGAGCAGATGACGGATTTGAACTGCCTGCCTCTGGCTTAGCAATGCAACTCCTTTCCTACCCACTAGGCAACTGGATTCTGAACAACACGCCACTTGGTACCTAATACCTCTACTTTCTCAACTGTAAACAGGGAAGCACGGAGATGTTAGGTCATTTGCCTCATGTCCCAGTGCGGGTAAGTAGGAAAGTCAGCCTTCAGAACTACAGCAGACTCACTGCCATGGATGGTAAGTGGGGATGTCCCCACCAGGGGCTGGTTAAGTCTGATGGAAAGCCAGGTTCTGACTGGAACTGATAGGTTCTCCTGACACCACAATGTAACCTTTTCTAAGCAGTCCAGGGGGGTTGCAGTCCAGATGGCTTCACTTAGTGTTTCCTTGTGTGTGGGTGGTGTGTTTTCTTCCAAATGTTTACTGCTGTTGGTGGAATCATACTGGGGGCCATCCCCAACAGGCACTCCTGTGTCTGATCTCATTGCTATAGTTACTGTATAGTCCATTTCCATGAGCTGTTGCTGGTCCATGACCTACTACGTAAAGCCTGATACCTTTCTCCAGCCTGTTTGATGACACCAAACATGTTGTGTACCTTGAGTCAGAATATCTCACAGCTGCCCGTTCAGCAGGTTTTCCAGGGTCAGTATGTCACAGGAGGGGAGCTAGCTGGTGGGTTCAAACTGGCTGTCTTTGGGTTTGTGGTGCAACTCCTTGTCACTGGGCTACTAGAACTCCCTTACAACAACATGTTGTTATGTGCCGTCGAGTCACTGGTGACTCATAGTAACCCTACGTATGAGAGCCCTAAACCCTGATGTATCCTAGGCCAACCTGTCTCAGACACACCTACTCCCATTACCTCAATCACTGAATCGATCCATCTCATCTCTCCTGTGCTGTCCCTCCATCCTCCCAAACATGATGTCCCTCTCCAAGGACCAGTTCCTTCTTGCAACATGCTCAAAGTATGTCAGACGAGGCTTCAGAATCCTTGTCTCCAAGGAGCAGCTGAGTTTCACCCTTTCCAGATGCACCTGTTTGTTCTCCTAGCAGTCCATGGTATATTCAACAACACTCTTCTCCAGCACCACAGTTCAAAGGGATCAATTCTCTATCATCTCTAGTCAGTGTCCAGCTCTCTGAAATATAGCACTCAATTATGAAGACGATGGCCTGCATCAGGTGCACCTTGGTCTCCAGCTTGACATTGTTGCTCTTCAGTACTCTGGAGAGGACCCTCACAGCTGACTTTCCCAATGCAATTCATCTCTTGTTTTCCTGGCTGCTGGAACCAAG